CGGTATCGGTATCGGACATAAAAAAGTGGTATCGTGCCATCTCTAATTATTATATTGGTACCTCACCTTCCTGCAGGGGTTTTGTAAAATAGCACACAGATGACTGCCATGTGACTGTTGCCACAATAACACAGAAATAAAAAGATGGACTTACAGACGCTTTGCTCGGTTTGTCTCGTCAGCTCTGGTGAAAGCCGTGAACACTGCAGTGGATCTGATCGTGGCTCACTTCGGCACCAGCAGAGACCCCGATGTTAAGGTAAGCCTGGGGTTCACAGGTGAGGCAGCCACACACGATGGCACGAACTGCTCATTTGTGAATATGAACTCACACGCTGGTTCTACTGGCTGATCAAAGTTATACGTATAGAATTTGCACAAACACATCACAACTGCAATGAAGCGCAAAAGAACCAAAATGTGTGTTTTGTGGTGAATTACACCAGTTTCACCATCAGATGGCGCCACCTGACTACTTGGTGAGAGTGAGCAAGCTGTTTGTGTACTTGTAGGAAATGTTATGTAATATTTATTTGTATTTTTATTCTGTATTTGTCCCATATACAAATACAGAATAAACACACGCTGCATCTAAAGCAGCGCTTGGTTCAGTAGCTTTAGATTCAGTGTCAGGGTGACAGAGCGTTCTGTCAGACTGTCACCCACGGTCGGGTAATCTCGTCTCAGAGCATCAATGCCACAAACATCTATCGTTTATTGTTACAGTGGTAATATTATATTATAATTTCTGGCAAATACATGTGAGTTTATCAGTTGGTGAGGTGGACCACAGTGTCACGGTCCGGGGTCGGTGACCCAGCGTTTCTGTTCTGTGTTTCTTGCTGTCCAGTTTGTGATTCCTAGTTTTTAGGTTTTGGTTCCTGTGCCCCTCATGTTTGGTCTACGTTTAGTTCTGTCCTTGTGTTTATTATGTTCCCCAGTCAGTCATTTCTCATGTCACTCACTCCATGTTCCCTCTGTTCAGTATCAAGTCCGTGTCTCTGTACCTGTCGTGTGCTTCCTGTTTTATTTTGACAGTCCCTGTTCTGTCCCCATGTTTTCTCTGTACCTTTCCTGTTCCCACGTCTCATGTCTAGTCTCCCTGTCTCTATGTTCCCGCTATAACATGTCAGTTTTGTCGTAGCGTTAAGCTCGCGTCTCTGAGTCTGTGACTGTACTTCTCTACAACCCGCCAGGCAAAGCTCGGGAACAGCTGGGTGAGTCCCAACGTGGGTCACCTCATCCTGAAGTATCTGTGTCCGGCTCTACGTGACGTGCTGCAGGACGGTCTGAAGGCCTACGTGCTGGACCTGATCATTGGACAGCGCCGCTGTCAGCCCTGGAGCCTCGTGGAGGCGTCCACACAGCTGGGTGAGAGCGCTGGGTGGAGGGGACATACCGATACTTAACAATTAAAGTTGATTTTGCGGGAAGTTGGCATTAGTATTGATCCACCGCAGTGACTCGCTCACTGTAATGCTGACCCTGCGCTGACAAAGGCCTGACTAATTCTAAGAGGTGATGAAGCAGTGACATGTTGAACTAAACTGCAAGATTTTCACCATCAGTGTCGGAGACAACAATGGTACAGAAGGATGAAGTGAAGTAATAGAGTAGTAATGGCACCTTTCAAAATAAAATTACAAAGTGCTTCACAAGACTAGAAAGGAAACAACAAGCAGTAAAACATTTAGAAAGATAAATGAAACATTAGAAGATTAAAAATCGTGAACAAATAAAATATGAACTGCAAAGCAGATAAATAAAAAATATGATAAAAAATAAAAATGACTAATAGGAGGCATAGATTGTGTTTATAACAAAATGAAACTTTGACCTTTGGCAGCGCTGACATGAGCAGGGTTCAGGTGACTGCAGAGCAGCAGGGCACAAAGAAATGAGCTCCTTACCTCCACGTCAAACTTCACCTTCTAACCAGGGTCCCAAAATGCTTACTCGTTGTACTTTCCTCTCTATTTGGGGTGCATTCACAAACCGCTACATTCACTCTTTTGCAGATATTGTTTAAGCTTAACATGTGTTTTTTGAAACGTGTGTCCTTTCAGGCCCGTCCACACGTGTTCTCCACAGCCTGTTCTCAAAGGTGAGCCAGTACTCGGAGCTCACGAGCCACAGCATGAGACTGAATGCTTTCATCTTCGGCCTGCTCAAGTGAGTCGTTTCATTTACTGCTGTTTTCATTCTCAGTTTACACTCTGAGCCTGGAGCTCACTCTGATTCGCTCTGACACGACAACAGCTTCTGTGTTTTTGGGTCTTAGTGACTGCAAAATAGTGACGTTTCTAGTTTAGGTTTATTCTCGAGGTCATCATGGTGTGCTGAAGTGCATTGCATTTAAAAGCGTTACTGTTTATGTCCGATAATAGAGGTGATGTATGAAAGTCTCAGTCAGTTAAGAAAAACACAATCTGTGAATTCTTGAAGTCAAACAGATTAGAAACTATTGAAAACTCGTTCTGAGTATTTTAAACCCCACGTTGTTTGCATTCATGACTTCTTGTTCCATTTCTTTCTGGCACATTCCTGCATATCTTGGCACGTCAGTGCCCCCTGTTGGTCAGTGCTTTAGTGTATTTGTGGCTATGTGTGTAACCTACAGTGAAATGTAATCAGATTTTTTTGAATGAAAAAAGTAATCATGTTGTGAGCTGTTATTTGTCTCTAGTAACCTTTTTGTTCTAAGTTTTGATTACCCGCTCTCTGAGGACATGTTTAAGCTGGAGTGTATTCATGTGTGTTTTGAAATGATGTTATTCCTTAAAGACGGCCTAATATTTGCCTAATCAGCACTAAATTATTATTCTTGAGGTACGTAAAGTAACGTTGAATACTTCACACTTCAGTTTACCTAATGCTGGCCTTCATCGTCAGGGGCAACCTCCCAGATTTCCTCTAATAGGCTTTGAACAGGTTTGAACAGTGGGTGGGCGGGGCTTCTGGGATATATGAACTGTGTGTTGGACATGAAAGTACAAAGGCAAGAGTTGAGTTCAAAGCTGGCCGTGTGAAGGTGGAAATGGACCAAAATGCAGACTCACAAAGGCAAGAATAAACTCAGAAGGCAGCTTCATTGCTGAACACCAGAAATACAAAAACTAACTAAACTGGGAATACGCATGAAACTAAACAGGTGGGAAGGCAGAACACTCGGCAGGGAACGAGACGGATCACGACGCTGGACAGACAGAAACAGAAGTCTTAAATACACGAGGGAACAGGAAACACATGGGGAACACAGCTGAGACAAGTTAGACACAAAGAGACAGAAGAAGCGAAACTAAACACACTGAACATGGAACCAAGACTGTCAAAATAAAACAGGAAACACTAAGACGCAGACTAACTCCCAACATGACACGGGAACTGAGAGGAAAGCACACGCAGGGAAACAAAATGGATTCTGTAGATAACAGGAGGAGATAACGAGGGGGACGCAGAAACGGTTAACGGAGACGAGACAGCGAGAGGAGAGACATGACGGCCTGGGAAAAATAGATGGGGGGAGCGTGGAACGACACACAAGGAGGGGAACATGGGAACAGAAGAGGGAAACAAGACACAAGGGCTCACACAAACACACACAAACAAAGACACACACAAAGGGACGCGGTAAACTAATTATAATACAAAAGACACCAAAACACAAGAAAACTCAAAACACTGGTCAAAAGGACCCAGAACCATGACACTGAGCGTCTAAAGCACTCGGGAGCTAAAGAATGACTTCCATACACTGACCCCATTATCATCAGTAGCAGAGAATAACAAAGAGCATGATGGGTCCCCTTTAAAACCATGTCAGAGCTGATAAAAAGACTCCGTTTTGGGTGTGATGACTGTTTAAATGTCTTCTGCAGGAGACTTTTTCTCTGCTGCAGGTTTTAAATAAGTGACTGTTTTTCTGTTTTAGTCTGAAATCTTTGGAATTCTGGTTCAATCACCTCTACACACATGAAGGTAAGACCATAGTGACTGAAACAACTGATTTCTTCTTGTGCATCTTGTTGTGACGCCTCCTCACCTCTCTTATCTTTTATTCAGATATTATTGCCGCATACTACAGCCCTTGGGGTTTCCTTCCCCTGTCACAGGGGCCGTGTCAGCCCCTCTTTGAGGAGCTCCTCCTGCTGCTGCAGCCTCTCTCACTGCTCCCCTTTGACCTGGACCTGCTGTTTGAACCACATCTCCTCCAAAAGGGACAAGAGCAGCTTCGTCGCAAAGAGCAGCTCTGCTCTGCAGGCCAGAGCGTCGACCAGTCGAAGTGCTCCACCTTCCAGCTCATGAGGGGGTGGAGCAACACTGTCAGTGAGATGGTCAAGGACTCAAGCGCAGAGGTGAAGAAAGAGAAGGCGGGGCTCAGGCGAGAGGGAACATGGCCAAGGATGGAGGGAGTTGGATCGAGAAGAGAGGCAGCAGCGGGGAAATCGATGCTGAGGAAAGAGAGCGTTACAGCTCGGAGCATGACAGCTGGGCCTGATTGCAGAGGGACAGTGAAGGAAGTAGGGTTTGCACATTTATGGAAGGAGAGGGGGGTCGAAGGGCAGAGGGTGAAAGGTGTAGGACAGGAGAGCCATGGAGAATATGAAGATAAAAAGGAGAAGGACAAGAGGAAGGAAAAAGACAGATTTCCTGCAGATGAAGGGCGTCAGCGGCAAGACAGGCAGGCCGGCTGGTGGTACCAGCTCATGCAGTCCTCCCAGGTCTACATCGACCAATCCACAGAGGGGACAAAGTTTGTTAAGACCGAGAAGAGGAAGAAGTCATCGGAGAGACGACAGGGCCAAATCCCACCCACAAGAGAGGGAGTGGTAGAGGGAGCGGAGGCCACTCAGGAAGGTGAGGGCAGGAAGAGCAGCAGCAGTAGCTTGAGCGGGGACTCATCTGGATCCAGGGGGCGGCCTTCATGGATGGGCAGCCCCCCAGAGTCTGTCCTCAACCAGGAGAATCACACCAACCCTCTGGAGGTCACGGTGACTGGGAGCCACGGCGGAGCCCAGGCTGAGAGCCCCTCACAGGGACAGAGTCTGCGCTGGAGCAGGCTCTTTGGCTCTAGTGTCGGTTCTCCCTCGAAAGCAGAAGGAGGTGAACAGAAGCCAAAAACCCAAAAGACCAGGTGAGAAAAGTCTGAATGTTCATGACTGAAACCACCAAAATATCATTTGTATATCTTAATCTGAAACTAACAGAACGATCACCTTCTTCCTGAGGAACATTTTCCAGTTCTTTACAAATTTAGTGGGTTTATATATATTTTTGCTTCACTGGATGCCGTTGATGTCGTGCCGCAAATGATGAAAGACTGACCTGGACTAACATCGGCCTTTTATGTTTTCACGTTGTGTTTGTGTTTCTTAGACCTCCATCGGGCTGGCTCGGCTTGGATCGGTCTGTTCTCGACCTTGTAGCTTTGACCATTGGAGCAGGCCCCGGAAAAAAGGCGGAGCTTCCTGCCACACCAACTCGCACCCAAAGTACAGCTCCACCAGCGTCGACGTACCCAGCTGAGGCCAAACTACAGTCCAGCTGGTAGGAACCGCCTGCAGTGTTATCGTAGTGTTACTTGGAAGCGATGCCAAGCATTCCTCCCTCAAAAAATGTTTCCGAATACTTTTCGATCACTCATCCTCACCTTCTGCCTCCGTGTTGATTTCTCAGCGAAGTACGAGCACTGTGCCACCACATCGCCACCGAGCCCGGACAGCTGAGCTTCAACAAGGGCGACATCCTGCGCGTTCTGAGCAAGGCTGACCCCGATTGGCTGCTCTGTTCCCTGGGCTCCACCCGGGGCTTGGTTCCAATTGTCTACGTCACCCTCAACAGCATGGAGGACAGCCAGGATGCCCCTGGTTTCGGGCAATGCTGAGCAAGAGAAAACTGTCCGAAAGGTGAAGCCAAACAGACATGGAGGGTATCCCTCCCGCACACGGACCGAACACAAAAACCTGTTTTCGTCTGTAATTTAAAGGGAAAAAAAGACAAATCATTGTAGTAAAGCTGGAGAGGATGCAGACATGACTGCGAGGGCAAGCATGCAGGCTCAACCACAAACAGACATCTGCTTCAAGGGTACACCCAGACACGTATGCATGCATACATCCAAAAAAACAAAAAAGCACCCCACAAAGATCACAAACAAACCCAAAGACTCTCAAGCGCTTCTTTCTCTGCCTCTCCTCCTAGCTTAGCAATGTGCAGGTCCAGTCTATTTATCATCCAGCTCTAATTTCAAAAAAATAGGCGGATCTCTCGTGCTCCACACCTGGCTGCACTGTGCTGTACAGCTGTGCCACACGTTGAACGCGCCGCTCAAACGATCGCCCTCGGTGCCGGCGCAGGTTAGTTTGACGTCCTCTTGTAAACTTAGTGCTAATATGATCTTTGCATTCGTGTAGAAACGAGTGAGTCTTTGCTTTTTGGTAAGATTGATATGAATGTAAGAGCTTTTGGATAAATGTTCTGTGATTCAGCATATTTTTATTATTCTAATGAGACGGTGGAGATCTGCACACGAGCTCGTGACAGCAGCTGTTCAGACATTCAAAGTGAAAAGAGAGCAGAAGGAGAATCGGCTTTTTCTTTTTATCCTCCGTTTTGTTTGATCTGCCTTCGTTTAAGCGTGATTGTTGGATGGATAGACAGTCAAAGTAATCCTCCTTTCCTCACAGCTGGGATAAAACGATGGTTGACACCGATGACTTGCATGAAATCTCTCAAGCTTTTGCTTTTCCTTACCGTCCTATTTCCCCCTCTCCTCACTCTCACATCTAAGAAGACTTGACAACCTGTGAGGATGGCAGGACTGAGCTGGTGGGAACACGGCCCGATTTATTGGTACATACTGTAAATGCATTAGTGACTTAAACGTCTGATAAATTCTATTTATTTAATAAGTTGAGGGAAGCACCTAAATGGATGCTTACAGAAAACATGGATGTCAAATGAAAGCAAAGCATAGCTGTGCAGGTGCCTTTGGAAATGGGGATGATGGGATTTACCCCAGCATGGAAGTTTATTCCGGTTCAAAGTGCAAAGATCTCATTCATGCCTTAAAGCACAAGTGTCGAACTCCAGGCCTCGAGTGCCGGTGTCCTGCAGGGTTTAGATCTCACCCTGGGTCAAGTCGAGTTCATTACCAGGCCTCTGGGGCCATTTAAATCAGCTGTGTTGGATCAAGGACACATCTAAGACCTGCAGGACACCGGCCCTCGAGGCCTGGAGTTCTACACTTGTGCATTAAAGAGTGTAGGTGGGGGGGGGGCACCTGTCCAGCTATTTGTCCTGATGGTGTATTTTGTACGTGCTCTGACATGTCTAATGCGACGCGTCCTCCAGATTTGTCTGCACACGTTCACGTGAAAGAAAAGGAGATCTGTGGTGATATTTTTGATGTTTAAAGGGAAACCCCGACACATTGTTTGTGATGGAGGCTCTGTGGGGGTCCTGTTCAGGTGCAAAATGTGGCCTTAGGCTCAAAATGAGTTGATGGAGAACTAAAATTCCGACTGTATACTTTAAATGTATACAGAAGGCCAGTCTGGAAAATTATAAAGAGGTCAAATTAATGTACATATATTAAATAAATGAATGCTTGTGTATTTTTTGAAAATCTCACATAGGATATAATTTCACCATTTCAGTTTTCCGTTGCTGTATAGTTTTTATTTTTCTGTAAGACTTTTAACATCTAATTTCAGCGAGATGATTAACATTTCATCCAAATGTAAATATATTTAAAACCCTCCTGAATTAATTTCTGCTGTAGAGCTGTACGTACAAATGTTATTAAAGGTTTCTCAGTGCATTTTATGTTGACTACAGGAAGCGAGCATAAGCTTTAGTCTCACTGCTAACCAACCTGCTGACTGTAAGTTGCCCGTCACGTTGGAGGAAGGCTTGCTGTTCGTTGACATCCTGCTCAGAGCTCACCGGGGACCGACAGAAATAAACACACAGTAATTAAAACAGAGACGGGCGAGGGAGGCCCAGGGGGCCAGAGGCAAAGAGAGACTTCTTTTTAGAATTAAGCATTTAATTATCTGGGATGTTGTGCATTAAAATACTTGTAGGAGTGACATAAGAGAGAAGGAAAGAAAGGAGTGATCTTTGTTTCTCTCGTCTGTTTTCTCCCTGCATTCTCTCTCCCGGCTGCCTGTAAATACCTTCAGCATCAGTGACACTGCTCTTCTCTCTGTGTCCAGACTATATGATGTGTACGTATGACATTATCAAACTACTATGGATGTTAAATAACAAAGTGCTCATGTGATCACAAACTCGTGTGGCTCCAGTGTCTTCTTCCCCCTCACACGTCAGCTTTGAAGGGATTTTTCTACCCGAGAACACTCTGGATTTATGGGCAGCATCCAGCTTACGACTCTGTTCACTGCGTGCTTATTAAATACCTGCTTCATTTATCAGTGAGGCTCTGCGCTGCCCCGGTGATGGGCATGCTGGGTAAGTGTTCCCATCTTAGTTTTATGCTTTTCCAGTAAAATTTAAGTGGCTGCAACCAGAGATGTGTCAGGCAGTTGTATTATTATTATTATTATTATTACTACTGATGCAAGTTGTGCACTCTGCTTTAATGGTATGCCAACGCGTTCAGCTGCTTATGATTTATGAGTGGTTAAGTTTTCACAGGACTCCATGCAAACTAAATACAGCTTTACAGCTTCCATAGGACGTAAGTAACAGCCAGGTACTGCTAATCAAGCCTACTTGATAAACTAGGAATCAGTAAGTTTAAGCACCTGTGTAAAAGCAGATGTTTGGGCATTTTACAGCAGGTAAAATAAGCATTCAACACATCACCAAATTTCCAAGTAAATCTATTTCTAAAGGTGCTATTGACATGAAATTGTCCATAAATTCTCAATGATCCCAAACACAGCAGCAAATCTACAACAGAATGGGTGAAAAAGAAAAGAATCAAGGTGCTGCATGGGTCCGATCACAGTTCAGACCTCAACCTTATTTAATACTGTGCATAAACAAATGTCCACAAACCTGAATGAACTGTAGCCATGAATTCCTCCACAACCCTGCGAGAGACTCGTGAAGTCACACAAAAGACTGAATCGTCTTTTGTGGTGTTTTCTTGTGTGGTGGATGTTTTTTTTGTTTTGTTTTTAGGAGTCTGCACAGAGCTCTGTGAAAACTTGAATTTCTCCATGATTATATATAAAACACAAGTCTTTTTTAAAAATTATTATTATTCTGTCTCATTAAACACCAGTTGAGTTTTCCAGTTCCAGTGGTGTTCCAGTTACACAGGTTAATTGTCTGCAGATCTGAAGTAGATTTTAAAAAGAAATCCTTCCCATTACGCCCTCAATATTATCATTCCACATGTAGCACATTCTGCCACCAGAGGGCGATATTGTCTTTTTGTCTGAGCCACCTGTGCATGAACTGATGTGCTGCACACTGAAGATGTATTTGAGAGGCAAATATATCAAATCATTTTTCTACTTCTATAAGTTGTCCTCTCTTTAAGGAGCTGTGTCTCCACACATGTCTTTCTGTACTGATGTCAAGCTACACAAGTTGAACTTTGGTTGTAGTTAAGAATATACCTGTTTAATCTAACCCTACTGCTAAAGCTCATTGAACCAGCCTGATCCATGAGTGGATTTAATATTATTCTAAAGTCTTTGAAGCTTTCAAAACATACTTCAGAAGTGTTAATTTGCAAAACAATCTTGCATAAAATGTAGAAACAACATTTGAAACAAGGAAATGAGGGAAAAAAATGACATAAAATTAAGATTTCATTGAAGGGTAGTGTCATATATCCTCAAACAGCAACAACACTGATAATTCAGTGTATATAACACTTAATGTGGGTTAAATACCTGTATACTTAGGAGACATTTATATTGGGGCAATTAAGGACAGCTCTTGGTTGTAGAGGTAAAGCTTACAGTGATGTCAGTCAACAGCTCATCAAAGACAGGTTGGGTAATTTAACACCAGCTAAGAGCTGAGCATCTGTCTGCCATCAGGGAGGTTTGCCAGCGGTGCTGACAGATATGCTAGTGAAAGCCATGCATCATCATGTGTAACTTAATCTGATGATTCACCTGGTTTCAAAGCACAGAGCATGTTAGACTTCAACATACACTATAAATAGTCAATAACATATAACCCCTGGTGATATAAAATGTCACTCTGCAAAATGAATCTTTCCCCAGTTTGTTGTGGAAGAGCATCACAGAAATGCACTGAGCTCTGAGTTCAGCTCCAGCACACAGGTGGGTATTTTCCAGAGTCACTGACGAGAATACTCTGTTTATCAGTGCTGCTGTCTTTCAAATGTTTGACCTGACAAAGTAAAAATTATATTAATATGTGCAACATTTTACAGACTCTGTAATGCTACAAAAGCTACACATGCTGTATATGATATGAATGACCACATGCTTTAATTAGCTAGAAACAAATCCTCAAGTGCCCTCGGTCATAAATCTGTGCAGTTATAGAGCCGTAAGATCACGACTCTCCCAAACTGGTACCAGGCGTTTCTAATATCCTCTGAAGAGCTACAGTTAGGTCCATATATGTTTGGACGCTGACAAGTTTTGTTCTTTTACCTTTTTACTGAACCATGTTCCAATTATAGTTCTATAATGAACATGGACATAATGTGTAGACTCTCAGGTTTCATTCGAGGGTATCCACACTCGGACTGGATGAAGGGTTTAGGAGCATCGGCTCCTTAGTGTGCACCACCCTCTTTTGAAAGGGAACAGAAGTCATTGGACAATTGACTCAAAGGCTATTTCATGTGCAGGTGTGGGCGATTCCTTCACTGTGTCATTATCAGTTAAATAAATAAAAGGCCTGGAGTTGATTTGAGGTGTGGTGCTTGCCTTTGGCAGATTTTGCTGTAAACTGACAACATGTGTTGAAACAAGCCGTCCCAAGCTGTGAAAATAGATTAAAAACAGCCCAGAAATAGCTACAATATTGGGAGTGGTAAAATGGTACATCCTGAGAAAGGAAGACGGCACTGGTGAACTCAGCAATGCAAGAAGACTTGAACATCCAAGAAAATAACAGTGGTGCATGAGCACAGAATCATTTCCATGGTGAAGACAAACCCTTTACAACAGCCAACCGAGTGAATACTCTCCAGGAGGTCAGCGTACTGATATCCAACTACACCTAAAGAGAAGATGGCATGAAAGTAAAGGGTACAGAGGGCTCACTGCAAGGTTAAGCCACTCATAAGCTTCAAGAATAGAAATGCTAGACTGGACTTTGCTGAAAAAAGAGCTAAAAAAGCCAGCAAAGTTGTGGAAAAACATTCTTTGGAAAGATGTTACAGAGATTTACTTCTACCAGAGTGATGCGTCCAAAGCAATCCACATTGATGATGTGACACAGGACAGAAGCAGCTGAATGAACTCTGAGGTGTACAGAGGCTTACTCTCTGCGCAAATCCAGCTAAATGCAGTCAAATTGATTGGGTGGTTTTTCTAATCCAGATGGACAATGAGCATCCAAACATACAGGAGTTTATCAAAGCGAAGAAGTGGAATATTCTTAAATGGACAAGTCACCTGATCATGAGCATGCATTTTACTTGTTGAACACTAAACTTCAGACAGAAAGGCCCACAACAAACAGCAACTGGAAGCTGCTGCAGTAAAGTTGTGGTATCACAATAAAAAGCAGGAAACCCAGCATCTCTGTCTCTGTCCAAATACTTATGGACCTAACTGTATTTCTTATCACAATACTGAAAAGTTCCAGTCAAGGGTCCGGTCTCAAAACCTGAAATAACTCACAAAGACAGAAGTTAAACACGTTTCCAGCGCTCAAATGCAAAGTTAGAAGTACATGCATCAGTGCGCAACGTGTCGTGCCTGCTTACATTTAAATGCACAGCTTTTTTTTCCTGGAAATGTGTTTGTTAATATTGGTGCAAGTTTTTCAGGCTAATAACGGCTCAGCTGAAACTGCAAATCAACTGAAATCAGCTCACGGTCAGGCAGCTTGCTCTGGACACATTACTCACATTTGTGATCAGATATTGCCAATTTGTGTATTTTGCAAGAATCACTTCTTTGTGCTATTAATATTTCTGTGAGCCACTCTTGCAGACACACTGACTGCTGTGTGCTGACACACGGTGAGTGCCTCTTATTTGTGTCACAGTTCCTCTTTAATGGTTTAACCGCAAAGACGTAGATTAGATTCCCCTGAAAAGATGCCTTTTCCTCAGAAAAATGACCGCGCTTCCATTTCTTCTTCTCCATTTATTTATTTTTTTGCATATAGGTATGTCCTAACTCGGAGCAGCCTGAGCCATTATGATATATGTGGCTACACGCCTATACCTAATGTAATGAAAGAAGAGAGGGATTTTCCTTCTTGGGAGTGTCTTTGCACTATAATGACAGTCACGGCACAAGGATCTGTTGGGAAATAAATGAAGGAGTTGTAAGAGAAATGTTGGCGCATTGACTGTAGATGACGGATGATCTGATATCCTCGTGTTGGTGTTGTTCCCACATCATCATAATCAATCCTTAGAGGACAGCCTAGTGTGAAATCTAATGCTCTATATTTCCTGAATGTGTGGTGGAGGATAACAAAGGCCTTCTCACACACCAGATTAAACTTTATCCAGATAAGTAAATTATTAAACGTCTCACTGACACTTCCTTGAAATTTCACTCCAAATTTACCAGCGTGTAAATTCTCGTTTTCTAAAGTTACCTCACAGACCGTCTATTACATAAAACCCAAATAATGCCTCATGGTCTCACTTTGTGGGGGTTTTATGTTACTGTGAAAGGGAAGTTGTGCAAGCTCACAACAAAAGCTGACTCAGCTGAATAAGCAGCTGCAAAATGGACGTTTGCAGCTTTGTTTTCTTTGCTTTTACACAAATAAAAGTGAGTTGCTGGAGTTTCGGACGTCTGCGTAACTGTGAAAACAGTGAGGCCAAAGTAGTTCCTGTAAATCCTGACATCTTAGGAAAGTGGCTTTAAAAAACAAACAAAAAAAAACCTCATGTAGCCACTGAAACTGTGAGTAAATCAAAGATTATATGAAAGTTCTCTGATCATTGTTGTGATGCAGTGGCTGAAAATGTGAAGGTCTCTTGGAATTAGCCAGTTATTGGGTTCAATGAAGATTCCTGGTAGTGGAGCCATAATGTCTTTAAACAAGAGTCTGAGGTTTTGCACAGGACACAGCAGTCCACAGAGCTGTCTATGCCAACGTTTGATGTTCACCACATTCACTAAACCAAATCCTAAACTGACATGTAACCATGTAATTATCAGTTTAGCATTTCAACACTTGGAATGCTATCTGCCTCTTAACCAGGGTTTCAGGCCTGTGTGACACCATCAGTGTTTTTGAAAGACAAACCTGCACATACACAGTTATGCAGGATCCAAATACCCAGAGAGACCAACGAGTAACTTTCATATCTGAAATAGGCCACTTTAGCCTGGGACCTGTGGTGGCAGGCTGTGGTTGTGGCCCAGCTGCAGGAGAGGGGTCAAGCAGAGGGCTCCGCAGTAACGCACTGGTACTGTGAAGTGCACAGTGCACCATACCTAGAACTGGAATCAAAAGGGAAAGGGTGAGTAAAGACTGGTCATCAAACTGTGTGTGTGTGTGTGTGTGTGTGTGTGTGTGTGTGTGTGTACATGTTTAGACATCTTTGTGAGGACAGAAAGTTGGCATGTTACTATACTTGTGGGGACCAACATCCTGGTCCCAGCGAGTTTGAAGCCATTTTTGAGGCTCAAAATGTGGTTTTGGTGTACAGTTAGGTTATGGTTGGGTTTAGGCTGAGGGTTATGGTTAGGCATTCGTTTTCGATGGTTAGGGTTCAAGTAAGGAAATCATTATGTCAATTAGATGTCCTCACTAAGATATAAAAACGAGTGTGTGTTTGTGGTTTCGTGTGTTCTGACCTGCAGTCATTTTGATTTATTCGTGGATATTCATACAGTTTTCATGCAAAACAGTTTAAGCTCTCAGAACTCGGTCTTCTACATGCTGGGTTAACTGGAAACTCTAAACTGACCATAGGTGTGAATGTGAGAGTGCATCGTTGTCCAGGATGTGCCACACCTACCACCTTATGAGAACAGGGATGGCTTCCAACCTTCCCACAGCTAAATGATGGCTGGTTAAACCAACCAAGCGCTTTTCAGCACTTTTATCATATTTTCAAAGCAGTTATGATTCATTATATGAGTCATCTAAAGAAACTGTGAAGATGTTCAAAGCACTAATTACAGTCCTGTAAAAAAATATTAAAACTAACTTTGATATTCAGCTAACCAGAGTAAATATAAAATGCATATTTTAAAAAATGATTTAATTTATCAAAGGAAAATCTATCCAAACTTAGCTGACCCCGTGTGGGAAAAATAATTGCCCCAGATCAGGAATTAACTGTGACCCAGTTTAATTTCACCAGCCACACCCCGGCCTGGTTACTGCCAGACCTGCTGAACCAAGAAATCGCTGGAGTAGAGCCTGAGAAACTGAAGCAGGCTTAAAGATCTCAAAAAGCATCACATCACAATCTAAAAGAAGAGCTGAGAAATAAAGTCACATTTATGAGTCCGGAAAGGCTACAAAGCCATTTCTAAGGTGCTGAGAGCCACCATCCACAGGAGTGCATCAACAACTCATCCAGAAGGCAGAGTGAGGGCTGCAGATCCCACTTGTCAAAGTTAAGGTCAGTGCTCATGATTCAACAATGAGATCATATTCAGATGGTTTGGTGTGACTGTCAGTAGGCTGGCCATGCTAGAAAACTCTCCAGTGTGGAAATTTCTCAATAATATCGGCCAAAAGTTCTCCACAGAGATGTGAAAGAGTCATTCTAAGTCATCCAAACACTGCAGTGCAACAATAGCATTTCTTTGATGATCTGAAACATGTTAATGTGACAAATATGCAAAGAAATAAAGAAGGGGCAAATATTTTCCACACAGATGTCTATGAACACATCTATGAACATGGGTTCAGCCCCTATTGTAAAGCTAAATAAGCCAGGGTCTGAATATATACCTACAGTAAGATGAATTATAGCATTGTAGTGAAGGTCATTTACTCATTTTCAGTCTTAACAGAGAGTAGAGCATCATCGACAAAGAACAGGCACGATTTGGATTTTTTGGGGGGGAAGCTTTATTTTGATAATATCAACACTCACATAAATCCATATGACCAACAAACTGCTTGTTCCTGAGTTTTAAGTTGCTTAGTGAACCAGACACTAAACAAACAATCACATTTTCAGTTTTTTCATGTACCGATATCACAAACCTTTTCCTTATAAAACAAAACACACAGAATACAAAACATAACGTCCTTCAAAATATTTTGTCTTTCATAAAATTGATAGTTACATAAAAAAAAGGCAAGATATTGTTTTAGTAGGCAGAAAAATAGCTGATCATTTTCATATTAAGCTTAAATTCTTAATTTATTCATGTTGTGGTCAATCCCATCTTTCTCCTCGCTGACTTGGAACCACTGCTCTGGCTGAAGGGTCAACGTTTGATTCACTAGGGTTTCACTCCAGTGCAGCGTTTGCCCTGTAGGAATACAAATGTTCAGAAACCCCAAGGTCATTATTTTCACCACGGCTTTAACTTCCTGTTTTGTCAAGCATGGTGCCCAATGACACAGTAACAGGGGACTCTTGTGTAATCCAGTCGAGTGCAAGAACAGCGATGAAGTGATTGCAGCTTGTGTCTCGACTTGTGCTTTCTAAGATAAAAACGTACGGGTCACTAGCGAGGAATAAAAGAGAGTGTTCTAAAAAAACAACAACTATCTATCACAAAAGCAACACAGAGGGTAACAATGTGCACCAACAAACAGCTGAAGGTGAGAGGTGAGCACCACCACATGACCAGTATCAGGATTAGCGGTTTAACAGTTCATTGGCCTCAAAACACTTGAAATTAAATGAGGCTTGAAACATGTGGATGCTTTGGTTAAAGTCTGTGAGGAGTTTAACTGATGATGCCACGACAGCATAAAGTCCAAATATATATGATCTAACATTTCTAAATCTCACTATTTAATACGTTGCAGCTTTTTCTGGTGTTTTTATTTAAGACATGTTATTATTTATTATTTATTTATTGTATTGCTTAGTAAATGTTATATTGTAAAATAAGAATAAGTGCATGTGAAATGTGCACTGGTGTCAATTTTAAATAATAAACATCTGTTTAAGGGTTATCACTCATCTTGGCCTGACTTCTAACCTCAGTGTCTAAACCTTCAGGTCTAAAGTGACCTCTGTTCAGTGATGTAAAAACAATTGAAATCCAGATGTTTCAGGCACCATCCCCCCAAAAATATCCAGAAGCTCGTCACAGACAAAACCTTAACCCAAGAAAGCAAAAGGAGACGAACTGGAGATGAAGCAGGAGATTAAACTAACATCTTACTGATGTAGAAAGTCCACGTTAGGAGGTGGTGGGTGTAAGTTCTGGTGTTTTAATATTAAAAAGACTTTGATTTGATTTAAAATTTGGACCTTTGGACTTTTAAATTCACTGCTTGGTTTTAACTTTGCCTGAAGATAAGTTTCACACAGTGGGACTAATGTGATGATTTTCTGGGAGTACCTGTTCAGCGCACATAAGCAGTCTTCTTAAAACTGCAGCTTACATTCCTAAAAAGCTGCAGTATTCCTTCAAATCAAGTGTATTTCTCTTAAATAGGGCCACCATCACGTTTAAATCTAAAGAGTTTATCTTGCTGAGAAGCAGAGCAGAGTGAACGTACCGTGTAGTTTTGTTTCTTGCAGGATTTCTTCAGCTGATCCACGTGGCGTTTCAGACCTTCCACCCACTTTTCATTAACGGGGGCGCACAATGCCCGGCCACCTCTGGACAGAAATCTGCCAGAACACAAATCACTCAGGTCAAAATGAGCTTGTGATAGCAGCATGTCTCTATATCCTGATCCCTTACATACATAATCCACTGCACCTCATCAGAACTTACATTGTGGCATCAATAGCGCAGCCTTGTCCCTGGACCTGATGGTGGTAGTTTATGACGAGACCTTTCCCGATAGGTTTTTTTGCCACACTCAAGCAGCAGTCAACGGGCACCTGTGCCAGCGTCACTGAAACACAAAGAAGACCGTGTCAGCAAAAGGTGACGCTCCAAAACGAAACCACGAACACATGCTCTGTCTCTGAGGTCATGTTTGTGAAGGATAAGGTGACGTAGGTTCAGTCCAGCTGAGCTGTGAGGTTTTACAGGAAAACAGCTGTTATAGTTTTTTAAGCGTCAGGTTACATATCAGGTTCGTATATTTGCCTCTTTTCATTCATAGTTTTTAAGATTTTTCTTTTTAGTTGCATCATTTCGGCTTAAATGCCAATTTTTCTTGATATTACTACTTTTATATATTTAAAGAACATATTTCCAGGAAAGGTTTGTTCAGCACTACATGCGTGCAACTTATTAGTAGTTATTAGGATGCAGTCCCCAGAGTGACGAACACGCCCAGGGGCATGGCACGTTTGTCACTGGACAGGGATTTTCCACAGTTGAACTTTAGCTTTCACCTACAACAAAGAATGCACCAAGGCGAGGGGAATGCCACTGCCACACCTTTGCCATTGCACTGATAAACAATGCTTATCAGCATATTTATAGTTAATTTTCACATTTACTTAATATTCTGCTCATCATTTTACTATACTTTTACTGGATGTCACCCTCATCTCTGCATCCTGCACGAGACTTTGCTGTCCTCTTTTGTTCAGCTCTTTAATGATTCATAAATTGTAAATCTAGCAGAAACAATTGGAGATGCATTTGTCAGGAATCTCTGCAAACGTAAAACTCAAATTCTACAGAACCACACATGTATATTTAGGATTACTGCTTTCTCTATTAGTCATTTCAAGTGATTATTTTTTAAAGATACATTGCATCCCTTTAAGCCTACAGACATGTTTTTGCAGTGATTCATTTCATATTTCTGCCTGAGATGAAAATGCATGAATAGAAAATAAAAAGATTTGGCACCGGAGGATGCCTGAGAGAAACTCACCTGTGCAGTAACAAGCGATGAAAAGGATGGAGAGGAAGAGTCTGCCATCACCCCTTGGAGCCATGTCTGGTCTTGCAGGAAGAGTTGCCTTTTGGTTTGTCTGGAGACAGATGGGCTGATGCAGAGCCTGTTCTTCCCTTCAACAACTACTGTGGCAAAGGAAGTGAGGGGACTGCTGCTGCAGCACTCCTTATATAGGAGCCGTGCACTATGCAACCGGCCTGTTCAAACTTTCACTTTTCATCATCCCACTTTGTTCTTCCTGTTTCTACTTCTCCTAAACCCTTCCCTCTTAATCAAAGAAAAATCCCCTCTTTTATTTTGCGTTAACAGCTGTTTCTTGGCACTGCCTGTTGACAATAACAAGATGAAATTAATCAGACATAACATTAAGCACACATTTGATCAAACCCCAGGAGTTTGTAGCATCCGTCCATTTTCTTCCACTTATCCAACTCAGGTCTGCGCAGGTGGAGAAGTCGAAGTCTAAGACAAACAGCCAGTCACGCCCACTAGTTTACCGAACCAGTGCATGTGTTTGGACTGTGGGGGGCAGCTGGAGTGACAGGAGAGAAACCCTGCAGACACAAACGTGTGACTCTTGCACTGACTTTAAAAATTGATAAAAATAAATAAATAAATGCCCGTAGTCTGCTTTTAGGAGCCCCACTGGACCACATTGGACTGTATTCTCAGTCACAGTGTCCACTGACATTTCCCATATTGTTTAACAGCTTCTATGGAGATATTAAAGTAACAAGAACAAATATAGTACCGTTAAATGCTTCGGTCATATAGATTAGAAACAACTAAAGGATTTTATGGATGAAAAATTAGCCATTTGACTTGTATCGCTGTGTGCTGAATCCAGTGGACTTGGGCTCACGTACAGCTAGATAAGGCATAGCTTAAAGCAAACCTATGAAGCACAGGGTGTGGACACAAGTGAAATAAAAGCTCAACTTTAAAAATAAGGCAGGACATTTAATTTACTTCTATTAAGTCCTAAAAATGGTTAGTAATTCATGGATATGCCAGCTCAGACACTGCAAGGACCAAGAACTGAATAGTGGCACAGTGGTTAGCACTGCTGCCTCACAGCAAGAAGGTCCTGAGTTCAATTCTACCATGAAGCCGAGGTGTCTGTGGGGTGTTTCCTAGCAATCGCAGGGCAGAGGTTGTACTTGCAGATCTGGTTGAATGAGATGTAGTCGTGCTTGTTGCACTTTAAAAAAATAAATAATAATTCTGCCTGAAGGAGTACCAGGGCCACATTTATATTTGAAAAATACAACTGTTGTTGTTCATTTTGAGAATAAAGTCAAAATGTGTTTAAAGTTTAAAGTCGATTAAAGTTGTTTCAAATAAAATAAACTGACACGGCTGCAATATGCTCTATAAAATGCCTCGTGTAGATGAGCGTAGAGAGCTTGTTTCACTAACGATCTATTTCAACTTATCGATTTAACTGATGTCACATCATCTACAAACAGCACTACATGTGCAGAGGACCAAAGTGGCAACTCCTGTGTTGTAAAACAAAGCTAACACCGACGTCAAAAAGCTGCAGTAACCACGGGACGCTGGCTCCTAAAGGAAGTCAACCTCCACAGACCCTCGCTGTAAAATGCCCAACTTCACGCATTTAAAAACATGTTTGCGGACTGGAACCAAATCCTTTGCACATTTTCTGATGTAACCTTCAATTTGTTTCCCAAAGTGCGCTGCCTGTACATGAAAACTACTGGGACATCAATCCTCTGGTTAGGGAGACTTGTGCATCCTCTTGGCCTCCCAGAGGTCACCAGCCTGTCACACTTACGCTATAGCACCTCACATTAATGTGGCACAAACTGATGTCCTGATGATGTTTCCAAAATCCCAACTGTCTCTGAGAAATTGTGGGTTTTTGTGCAACAATAATTTTTTGAATTATGTATGGAAGTGTTCCTTCCCAGTAAAGGGAGCAGACCAATGTTGAGCAGAAGAGAAATGAAAAGAGGGCTGTTGGGACGTCTCTTTTTCAAATGTTGTCTGACTTTTAATTCCGTTCTATCTGTTTTAGTGCCAGTTCACAGCAACGGTTTCCTCAGTGTGGTTTAAGCTAACCAGACAGTTTAATTATTCGTGGCTTCCAGGATTCCTCAGAGAATTTATTCCATTTTGACATCATAGCGTCCCACAGTGACTGCAGATTTGTCTGCTGCACGTTCATGATGATAATCTCCAATTCCATCTCAGAGGTGCTCCAGTGGATTGACTGGTGACTGTGGAATAAAGTAAACTGGCACTGAGCACATTTCTGTTGTCTTACAGCAAGAAGGGCTTTGGTTTAAATCCCATCTGGGGCATCTCTGTGTGGAGTTTGCATGCTCTCCCCATTTCTGTGACGCTAATCTGGCTTCCTCCCAAAGTCCAAAAACATGAGTTTAGATTAACTGGTAGCCTCAAACTGAGCTGATATGTGTGAAACTGATGCATGGATGTTTTTTGTTATTTTAAATAAACATGCATGTCCTTCAGCATAGCTTATCTGGAATACAGAAAACAAGCAACTTTGAGATAAGAAACAGTGCTCTGAGCAGAGAGCGCTTTAGCCTCCTGTAACACAGCTTTCTTCGAACCTGAGGTGAAGTACCCTCAGGGTCTATTTGACTTTTCAGCTGTAGACTTGTCTGACCAGAAACAATCAAATCAGGACCTGCGATAAGAATAAAGATTCCCATTATTACGACACTTTGTTGTAAACTTCCTCGTTGATCTGTTCCTGCGTAAATGATACCTCCATGGAAGAGCTGTACTTCCAGTGAAACAGATACCGCTGCAGCTGAATGTGGTGTCTGTAAAGAGCAGCTTTCTCTTCCCCCCTTATAGTATTGAGGAACTTAGAACAATTGTGACAGACTGATGACCTCTTACTTTTGAACAACTTGTTGAAGGAAATAAGAAGTTGCTTGCACCGCCGTCTTAATGCATTAACAGGAGTAAACACTGATTCTCACGTGTCATTGCAGTGAGTTTCAGTTTCTTGTAACCTGCTGGGTGGAAGTTTGCCTTATTGGGCGAGTGCAGTGTTTGGACTTTCCCTGCTGAAGCACTTACAGGAACGTTTTTAAACAGTTGATACGCCTGAATTATAGCCTCTGGCAGGATTCCATTAAGTAGTCCATGTGAAAGGACTGTGTTGGAAAAAGTCTCTCATTATAAATCTGCGTCCTGCATGAACAAGAAAGGACATGTTTTAGCTTTTGCAATGTGTCTTTGAAGACATGCTTACGAGAATAGTTTATGCACGGTTATTGATGCAGGTAGGCATGAAGATTAGAGTTAAACAAGGCCAGAGGTCATCCAAACTCATTTCAGAAAACTTTCACCTTTTACCTTTGCCCACTTTTTCACAGTGATTAATACCACGCTGATGTCATTTATTGCAGTGTGAATTAAAAACATCCAAGCCATGGGCTGAAAATAAAGTGCTGCAGATGTCACTGAAATCGCACTCTTTTGCACTTTCATATGGAGCATTCTCAAGAAGTCCAGAATAAATGGGGCCCAAATACTTTCTTTTATTTTAGAGATGTGAAGGTTACAGCTGGCATTTCAAGAAAAACTGCTACGGCTGCTGTAATGAAATCGAGAATCAGTTTTAGTAACAAGGAAGAACTTTTTTTAGCACATAAACAGTGTCATGATGCACGAAACCATGGTGCAGAAAGCTGCATCTGGTCAGACAGAAGAACACAAACCTGCAAGAGGGGATTTGCACAAAATGAAATGTCTGGTAATGGACGGATGCGAGGTCATCGATGGCTGAACGCTCGTGCAATACAGAGGATGTATGTTCTATCACAAGATGGTTGATCAGTTGCTTTCAATAACTCGCTTTCACAAGGGGTTTAGCAGCCGTGGCAACAACAACTGTAATCTCCACAATTTAAATTTTGCCTTCAATCTCCAAATGATCAACAGTTTTTTTCTTAATCTGGCCCTAATACTCCTTCATAGGGCTGCATCAGGAAGCGCATCAGTTATGCACATCCATCCACTTCGGTGCTCCTTGCAAATAAGGAGAAGCTGAAAGAAGCTTTTTAGCAGCATCCTCCAGAGAGCAGTCAGCCCTCACGAACAGCTGACTGTTGCACTCACATGTCAGACGTCTGGTTACTGTTTGGTAACAGAGTCCATGACAGGAACATGTCCTGTTGATCGATCCTGTAACTAACCAGGCTTGCAAATGCTAGCTGATAACTGAGCTAATAACTCCACCCTCTCATCCCAATATGGTCAAATCTGGTTTCAAATACCAAGATGGTGATGGCCATCCTTAAAATGTTGGTGCACAAAATATTGAGATGGTTTTCAGTTCAATTCAGTTCAGTTTTGTTTATGTAGTGCCAAATCACAATAACACTCACCTCACTTTATATTGTAAGGTAAAGGCCCCACAGTAATACAAATTCATTTTGTTGCAACATTTTTTATATGCGGTCTGTGATTACCAGTCTGTGTCCAAGTTGTAGTTAAACCTGGGAATTTTCTAACTCCTGATAAACCAGATATGGCTTTCATAGATATGGAAGTGATAACAAAACATGAAGACTGAGGTAGATTGTGTCTGAAAATGGAAATCTGATGGAAGAAACCAAGTAGAAATGCAAACAAACCTGAAAGATAAAGAATCCTAAAGCATGCTGAAGTACTGAGTCAGTTTACAAATCACACTTACGGTAAAGTTTGGAGAAAGTCTCAGATTGGACTGTTTGGGTTTTTTAGTTACCGATAAGACAAGAGTGAAAGTCAACAGAAATCTGAAGCATTTAGTTTTGCTATGAAAGGACATCTGTAGCAGATCTGACCAGAGTAAGTGCTCCCCCCCCCAGGAGCGTGTTTCCTTTTTGGGTGGTCTGTAGTTATACAGATCATGTATCTTGTGGGAAACTCAAAAGAAATGCCGTGAACTGCGGATCTTTGGCTCCCTGGACAGTTTTAAAGTGAGCACAGAGATTCTGTTACGAGCAGGTCAAATGGTCAAAATGAGCTGGAAGGACTTCCTGTTTTCAGACCCTCTGAATCCCAGCCTGGATTCTCATAAATGTTCAGCATGCTTACCGCCAGTCATTCGTCACTTACACTTACAGCAGTCGAGTCTTTAGGCCAACTCCAGTTTCCATTTGAAGGTTTCAT